GTTAAAACATTTTCGTTTTGGTTTTCTTTAAATATATAATCTGAATGACTACATATAATTTTTGTTCTATGAGTGTCATGGTTGTTGAGCCTCAAGCAAGCCCATTAAGATTAGTGGGTTTTGGTTGGTTAGCTATAGTAATTAGGTTAATAATGAAACATTAGTATAAAAGCGTTGTAATGATGTAAGAGAACATGAACCAAGTGATTAACAATGTAGTCTTTGGATGAAAAGAATCTAAGAGAGATCTAACCATAAGAGGTTAGAAGTATAGATTCCCATAGAGATGTTTTTATACTCCCCAAGATCTTGTAAACAATGTATTCCCCTCCTTTACTGTTTTCCTTTTTTGAAATTGTTTGCTTCCATGTTCGCGACTCTTTTTTTGCACGATTCAAGCTCTCTCTCCCAATGCGCCATTTGTCCCCTACTGCATTTTCCACCACCTGTAGAGTTAAGAGCCACCGATGTCGTCAAATCTGCAATCCTCAAGATTCCAGACTCCAAATTCTCAATTAAACAACACCAATAATGGCTTTCAAGACAAGCAAATTGTGAAAAAATAGAAGAGAGACTACCTTGTAGAACAAGACCACCACAACACAGACTATAATCCTACTTAACATTTCAAGGATCTAACAGAGATTTCGAGTATAATCTGCTGCTGGTTGCAACCATTCGAGATCCATTTCAAAATCCAACATCAATTGAGTTTTAGACGAACAAATTGGGAAGAAAATAGTAAGAGATAACGAATGTAAATTCGAACCTTCCTAAAAACAACTATAATCATACTTCAAGAAAGAATCTAACCGAGATTTCAAGTGCAATTAGCAAATTAGAGATAACATTCCAGATCCAACTTCAAAATCCAGTATCGATGAGTTTCAGAGGAACAGATTGGTAAAAAAAATTGAAGCGATCGCACTAATTCGAAGCTTTTGAACGAATTTGAAGATTTCGAAAGAATCCAGATACTATACGCACTAATTCGAAGCTTATAGAAACTTACATTTCTTAGTCGCTTCAAACAGAGCATCGTCTTCAACGAGCTGATTCTGGATCCCTCCTTCACTGCTAAGATCGGGAAAAAAAAACAGGAGAGGAGAGTCAGATCGATAAACTAAAGCTAATTAAACAGAAACGACGAAGAAAGAAAGAAAGAAGAGTATTAGCGTAGTGGAGAAAGGAAGAGTGATCATACTTGGGAGTCGTCGCCATCTTCGCTCTGTAAATCCAAGCTTGAAACGAGAGAGAAAGAGAGAGAGATTTAGAGAGAGAAACAAGACTTAGAGAGAGAATTCTCAATTCTGAAAATGAAAAATTCTGGGTTCCTTTCATGTGTTAAAGGCGGGAGTCGCAGCGTACCTCAAGTCTCTTCTTAATCGAACTTGTAAAATGTTTGAGATCCGTAACTGAATTTTGTTTTCCTTAGTTAGTTACAGTCCCTTGCATGAAAATCGACCGTATGATCACGCCACATCAGATTCTTTTATCATCCAACGGCCAAAATTGAAACTAAGTAAACGACAAACTTTTACCTCCAACCAAATACGCTGCGTTTTTCAGAAATCTTTTAAACGAATCCATTCTAGGCCCGATCACTTGAATAATTTGTTTTATGGGCTTTATTATTAAAAACCTTTTGAACCCTTTTTATATTTTTATTACTAGTATACGATTTCACTATTACGGTTACAGTATTACTACCCAAGTAATTCTATTCATTATACAATATGTTTTTCTTACGTAAGTACTGTAGATTATATTAATTTATGTCGATGCAAGTATGAAGAACGCATGATGCAAGTATATCTTTTTTTTTTTTGTTACAATGTATCCTCTAGTTATTATTATTAGCATGTATGTTATGAAGTACTCTTTAAAAAACAAAGTCATTAACATTCTTCAAAAATATATTAGATCTTACTTTTATTTTTCAGTGATCAGTTTTAGATCTTACCATACTCACTCTGAAAAGCTAAAAACATTTTAATTTTAATAATCAAATCAACTGAAGACAAAATGAGGCCTTAACGGCTTATATATAATAAATCATAAATATCCTATAAAACCTCTTAAATATTCTAAAAATCCTATATAAAATAAATATATATATATATTAAAATAATTAATATAAATTAATGGAAATTATCCTAATTATGAGTTGCATCAAGTCTCACCCATCAATAAAAGATCCGTACTCAAATCTTGAATCTGCACTACATTTTAGCTGTCAAATAATTCGGTTAATTAATGTATACATAGCTACGTACTCTCTGTATAACGACCAATGTAAATGTAAAAAATAAAAATAACGGCCAATGTAATCACTTCTAGTAAAACTCATCAGTTCATAATCTCTTATAAAATTTTGCTTGATTAATTTAAAAACATGATTAGACATACATTTAAATATTCTTAGGAATTTGGATATCAACCAGAGAATAGAAATATAAATATAGAGTCGGATAACCCACAAATAAATAAATAAAAAAGTAATAATGATAAAAACTGAAAACTACTAGAAAGATATATCAAGTTAGAAATTCCCTTTATTTGTTTTCCTATTATTATTTTGAAGAGGATTTGTTTTCCCTTTTTATTTGGTTTTATCTTTTCTTATAAATAAAAGCGTTTTTGCAAAGAAGAGAGGATCAGACCAAAAAAATCGTATCATGGAGGAGGAGGAGGAGGTTGTTCTTGGTCGTCCACTTTCTCGGGTGTATTGCCGACAGAGATACTATCTAAGAGAGGGAGAAGGTTTATTAGTTCTAAAAGTTGAGATTTCTATAGTTGAAGAGGGACTCGGTTCACGTCAGGGTCGTTTATTCAAATTTACCTTTATTTCGCATCCTGTAATGGAGGAGCATGAAAGACAAGTCATACTTGGATTCTTGACCAGCTCTGGAATAAGGGAGGAAGATGCAGATTTCATGATAACATCTATCTCTTGTTTTGGTTGTGAAACAATTGCTTTGAACTGTCAGTCTCTAGGGGGTTGTCTAACGCTGTACATGAATATCTTGGTTGGTGTTGATCACTACAAAAACATTCGGAGGGGAATCAAAGTTGATCAGGGATGTCGGATCATCAAGGCTGATCAGTACAATGGAGTCTGGGACTCGGACTCTCTCGTAGTAGATCATGAAGAAGGCTGGGACAATGTTGTCTTGTTTAACATAGATGATAACAACACACTCAAGTATACCTTTCGCGATTCTATCCAGCTCGATCCTCTTGCGATTTTTTCCGATTATAAACCCCGGTTAAAGCCAGCAAGTGAGAGTGCAATAAGAAGGTTGAAAAAATCATGGATGGAGGAAACGATAGGCTGCACAATATGTTTTGACGAGTTGGTGGTTGGAGCCGAGGCATCTACTTTGCCTTGTCGGCATCACTTTCACAAGGGATGTATCGTGGAATGGCTTAAGACTAGCCACTTTTGCCCCTTGTGTCGTTTTGCCTTACCTGCCCAACCCTAAGATTGTGATAACTTGGTGGGTTTTAACATATGTTTCGTAAGTTTTTTTGCTCTTCTTTAATTCTATTATCTGATTGACTACATATGCTTTTGTTCTCTTTTCCCCTAAAACTCTTGCACTCTTCTTTTGCATTTAAAGTTTCAGAATTCTTAATACTAAACTTGTTATTTTTTTTTATGATCCTTTAACTAAAAAATGTGTTCAAAATTAACATGCATAAGCATTCTGATAATAGCTACACAAATCAGCTTAAAAGGAGAGATAGTTTGGTCAAGTAGGTTACTAAAATGAATCTGGTAACCCTAATGTCAAGTATGGATTTAGAGGTGGAGAGCTTCCATGAACAACAGCAACTTTAGGACAATATCTCATGCTCCTTTAACTAAGTCACTTCTCCAAAAGCTGGCCGTAGTTGAACCTTTATTTTTCTTTTTTGCGTTAAGATAAAATAGTAACAGGGTATATATGAGGGGCCCTATATATGACTTTTGGCCTTTTGGGTAGAGTTGATAGTAGAGAGAGAGCCAGAGAGGTATGCATATTGCATACAAATAAGTATTGTATGAGATGAAGTTAGTAGTTGAAGTATCAAAAGTCGTTGTGGCCCCTTCTCCTAGCATGCTCTTGAAAGTCTTTGAATTTTAACTGGCCAAACATACTATTATCGTATATTATAAATCATGATGTTCTGTTTTAACAATAAGAGCTCCAGCAATGTGAGTCCACTATTTTGTCTTTCAGGCTCAACATCCCAAACGAGTTGCCAATTCTGAACAACCCTGTTGTAACTTTTCAATCATTCCACTCGGTACTTGATGTTAAGCACCTATCAGATACCTTGACTGAGCTGAGTTACACAAATATACATTGCGCCATATCTAAAGAGTGGTATTTGTGTCAATAAAATAGAGGTAATATGGCACCTTTCTAAGTCTGAGGTAGCATCCCATCAGAGACTTACTTTGATTATATTAGTGGTTTTTCATTTGTTCTTAGCTTTCTTCTCTTATTACAAACAATGAAAATGCTGAAAATTTTGAAAGTGTATGTAACAAACAAGGTTTCTTTGTTTGTTTTATTCGTTCTTTACGAGTAAGATTCCATCCTATTTCACTATTCCGTTAAATTAACATTCTTCTATTAGCTATGAGTATAAAAAGTTAACATATAAAATATATATATATATATATATATATATATATAAATTTATTTATGATACTCACATAACATTTCACTAATTATCAATTGATTTTAAATACTAAGGCTTAGACAATGAATATTAAGCTTATATTTACAATTTTGAAATGGAATAAAAGAAAAATAAAAGAATTTAAACCAATAAAAAATGGGAGGGAGAAGGCTATTAGCAGTATACACGCTTGAACCCTATGGGAACATGAAATCAATGTCTATGAGTCGGGTTATTTGGAAATGGAGCCCGAGTCAAGTGCTAAATTCCGTCATAGTAGTCGATATTGTACAATACATACTAGTGTAACCAGCGAAATGATGTTGTTAGGAAGGGCATGGTGGACCACGACCACCGGGGATGTGTGTGCAGCTAGAAGGATCCGAAGGAGTGACTTCACCTCTTTGTAGAAACTGTAAATTGCCAAGACGCTCTTTTGGTAAAAGCCTGACTGCTTCGTTTGATGGAATGTGTGAAACCATTAGTAGAAGAAAAATCAGTGAGAGCACCAATGGAAGAGATATTTTCATGTTATTTATATAAAAGTAAAATGAATGAATGAATGAATGAATAAAATGGAGTATTTTCTTGTTAGTCTTCTTACACCTGAGAGGAAATAGAAGATTAAAAATTTTAATTGGTGAGGAGTTTTTGTGGTGGCGATTGTTGTATTTATAGACGGAAAGGCTTTGGTAATAAGAACGATGGTTTTTATTTGGTGTTTTCTTGTTTGTTGAATATTATCTTGTGCAGAGATTTTGAATGTTGACTTGTTGTATATAGGTGTTATACGAAATATGCATTTTCGTTCATAGACTCGATTTTTAAATTTGTTTAAACGAATAGGAAAAGAAAAAAAAAGTTAGGCATGGTCAATGTATTAGACCGTAAGATCCTTGAGCACAACATCGGTCAACTTTGTTTACAAGAAATCTCTATTGAGAAGTTGGAGTAAAACTGTTTTAAAATAAATTAGTATTGTTGGTCAATATCTACGGATGAAAAGCTTAATTGCTTCAAAGTTGTTCAAATCGTATTTTTATGTAAAGGTGGCTTTGATGAGTAGTTTCCGGGAAGTGTAGTTTATAGAAGGGACCCTTTATAGAATTGCAATACCAACTTTGTGGATCTTTTTTCTTATCTTAAGCTAAACTTGTTTATAAAAGAAGCTAATCAAATAATATGACAATCCCAAAAGTATTGTCAAAATCTAAAAATGTATTGGAATACAAACCAATATCCCACATCGGAAGATTAGAAATAGAAGTTTCTAATATATAAGTCAAGTCCCACTCCAATTAGTATGAGATCTTTTGGGAAGGAGACCAATAAATCTGTGCGTGCTTGAGTTATAGATCCAAAGCGGAAAATATCATACTAATGGAAAGTTGGCTTGATTATAGAGATTCCAATAATTGGTAGCAGAGCCTAAGGTCAAGATTGTGGACTTAGGGGAATGGATATTGGTTTGAGGGGGAGTATTGGAATACAAAACAATATCCCACATCGGAAGATTAGAAAGAGAAGTTTCTAATATATAAGTCAAGTCACATTCCAATTAGTATTGAGGCCTTTTGGGAAGGAGCCCAATAAATTCGTGCGGACTTGAGTTATAGGGCCAAAGCGGACAATATCATACTAATGGAAAGTTGGCTTAGTTATAGAGATTCCAACAAAATGGTCTATATTTTTCACCAATTATAATCATGTCTATATCCTCTTTTTAATATGTTTTTGAAATAAATATATTGTTTTGTATCATCCAAAGCTTTGAATTTATTTGATACTTAAAGTTAAAGGCATAGAGTTAAAGAAACTAAAATAAGAAAATCCTGTTGTCCAAGCACCATTAAAAAAAAATTATCTTATAACGATAAAAGGAATAAAATCTTATAAAATATAGCTGAAAAAGGAAAAATATATTTGGAGACCGAACACAAAAGCGCATCAAGTCAACAAAACTAAAAAGCGGCGGTCTCGTCGTAACCTCAGCCCAAAACCCTAATGTTCTGTCTCCCTATATATATTGCAAACAAACCTTTTCATCTTCTTTACTCTACAAAACAAACTAATCTTGCGTTGGTGACTAAGCACCTTCGCTTGCAGAGAGAAATCACAGTGTGGTCAAAAGCTTCAAAGTCTCTTTCCTCTGTGATTCTCTGTGCTAGCGGAAGAGCTTGCTCCTCCAACCTTATCTCTCACTCGATGTCTCTAAATTCATGTCCATGAGCTTATATGTTTTGAAATCTTCGTAATTCTGAATGTTCGTTTTGAGTTTATGTTCATAGGAAGGGTAATGATAATGTTTTATTAATTTGTTGGTAACAGATCTATGAATACTTGACTAGTTTTGAAATCTTGATTCTGGTGTTCAAAAAAAAAGAAATCTTGATTCTAATATTTTCTTAGGATTAGTTTTTTACTGGTTTGGTTGATTAAGAGAATTGAAAATCCAATGAGATGAGAATTGATATTTGTTTATGGTTATCGAATTCCATCGCTCATCGGTAGGTAAGCTGAGGAGTAGCCGAGAGACCGAGAGGAGGACAACCTTTTCACAGAAAAGGCTTGTGTAATGTTAAGTCCAAGCCCATTGGGTCTTATAAAGAGCCCATTAAATAAAGATGTTGTGTAAAACCGATTAAAAAACTTGAATTACAATTATATTTAATATACATGATTTTTCTGTTAATTAATCTCATTAAAAAACAAATTAAACCGATTAATAGAGAATTAAAAGAAAACAAGTTAAATCGAATCTAAAAGTTCTGAGATGAATACTAAAATACTATAACCTCATCAAATATTGTATGATTCTTACTTTATTTTTTAATTAAAGTAAATTTTAAATATTTTTAATAGTATTTGGTATTTAATTGTAAGTTTTATAATTAACAGTAAAGTAATTTTTTTTTTTGTTGAACGAAAAAAAAAGTAAATTTTTTTGACACCTTATAAGAAACTGCCATTTGGTATTTTCCATAAGAAAAAAACACCAAATTGTGATATGTATTATTTTCTCTTAAATATAATTATTAATCACAGCAACTGTCTATTTTAAAAATATTAAAAAAAAACAAATTTAACTCTTTAAATAAAATAATGAAAATTTGGCTCATTTATAGTTTTATACATATCAGTTTGGTTTCAATTAGTATTTTGAAGATAAATAAAAATAAATTCGAAAAGAGCCCCCTAACAAAATATATCTATATGGTTCCTTTTTTTTGTTTGTATTGGTACCAAACCAAATTGATACTTGTATTCAGTTCTACTTCGACCATTGTATGTGTGTACGACCTTTCTAATTTGTATAGTTCCATTTGTGATTTGACGTCTTTAGGCTTTCACCATTCCTATAAAGAAAGACAAAGAAAACTATTTGCGAATACAAAAATCTTGACGTGAAATGTGACAAGCCAATCACAAGTTTTACCATGAAAGCCAAACTATATGTGGTTGTGGAAAACAATAAAAACAAAACCATCTCAATTCATAAAGAACAAAAAAATAGTTTCAGATTATTTTTTATTTTTGTAGAAGAAATTAAACAATAATGAGTCTTGTATTAAAGTAAACTCTTTAGGGAATTAGTGATGATGTAAAAACAACGTAGGGAAGGGGCTAAAGTGGTTTTGAAACAACTACTACTGCGAGTAAACTCTGCAACTTCGATCAAGTAAGCTACAAGTAACTCGAGGCCCTTTATTCACAAATGGTAAACAAAAGAGATATATAACGTTAATAATAATAAAAGAGAGAGTGAGAGAGCTGAGGCCACTAGACTTTTAGACCTTCTCTTTCAGCCGTTGGATATGTCCTATCGATGATAGTGTATATCATCTTCTAATTTTGGCAGAATCTTTTGTCTAATTCCACTCTCTCTGTCCTAAAGTTTCCCATATTTTTCACTTCATTCACCAGGTACGTAACCAGATCATTTCAGGTTTTAATGTAAATGTTAGACAATGAAAAATAAAAATGATTGTGAACCGTAAAATATTGCAAATGTACGGTGAACTTTTTTTCTTTTTTGCTAAAGGCTTCTTTTATATTTTACAAAATTTGGTGGTGTGACATTTCTTATTGATTAGATGATATGATGTAGAGAGAAGAGTCGATCATGCATGCGATTTTACCCATCTACAACTAAGTATGTATGTGTCAAACAGCCTTAATCCATGTGGCATGCAAACAGATTACGAACATGTGAATTACTTTGATATATAACATCGAGTTGAGGGATATATAGATTGTGCAAGCAGAAGAGAACTATATGTATATATATATATATATATATATATATATATATATATATATAAAAGAATTGTGTAATTTAATTAGAAAAGAGTCGTAACAACACTAATTAACCATAACTAACACAAAATTAAAACTAAGCAATGTGTCAAACTGCGTTAATCCGTCCTATTAGATGTGGCTTGTCAAACACATGTATATTAATTCGAAATATAACCTTTTTTTGGCGAGATTGAAGAACTATATTTATATTTGGTGTGGTTGTAACTTCAGAAATTTATGGATCTTGACATAAACGATACAAAAAGAAACCAAAAGAACAGTAGTTTAATTTTCAAGTCAGAGAACCTTAAGAAATCCATTGGTTAATTCCGGTATACCTCGAGTCTAATCATTCTGTATGATCAGTATATGTTATATATTAATTTATTCATTCGAAACTCTTCCTGACCGGAATAACTAATCAAGGCTCTTTTCCAAGGAAGTCAAGATTTATGATTTTATTTTTTTTCGGTTTACAAGGTCAAATATATATTTTATCTAGCATATGTAGAAGATAAAACAAGATTTTATAAGAACATTATTCTAAACCTTTTTTATTTTATTTATTATAAGCTTTTTTCGAATCGGTGAACTATAGTAACATGTGATGACAAAAAAAAAAAAAAAAAAAAAAAGAACTATAGTAACATGTAACAAAAGTTTGATTTCAACGAGAGTGATAAAAAACAAAGAAGAGCGATATGGTTTGTCGACAATTGTGAAAATGTGTTCATATTGGGTGGATATATATGTAGCAGTTGGATGTGTATTAAATGAGACTTTCCTCGTTGGTGAATGTTGCGCTTTGTAAAATTGTACGGTTCCTCCAAAGTATTTGCATGGTGTGGCCTTTGAAACAATCTCATTTGACAATCCATTTTATCTAAAGATAGTTCAAACACAAGATTAATCTATATGTACATGTGAAGCACAAACCATACTTTAAAAATCTAATTTGTTTAAAGAACTTATGAACTTAATTATAGTTCTTGCCCTCGGTTTTACAAGATGTTTAGATATAGACACTAATATAAACACAAGATTGGGTTGACTTGGGTTGAATGTATTGCAAAACAAATGATTAATCAAACGACTAAGATAGGATAATTAAGCATCCATATGTACGCACCATAAACTAAAGATGAAATCAATGTCAAAGTAAAGAGGTCACAATTTGAGAAAAACACAACACATGTTGAAAGGAATTGGTCCAGAACTCATGGTGGTTTTATTAACTATATAAAAAACAAAAGAAAGGGACAATGTAATGGAAAGGCAAAATCTAAAAGACCCTAAGAGTCTAATAATAATGTGCGTCGTTTTCTTAGATTTGATAACAAACAAATGTCAAAGATATGGCTCACGAGGAAAGCTTTATAGCAAAGGATTTTTAAAATTATTAGAAGATGAAAAAATTGTTAAATAAAATAGAAAATGGGAGAAAGGAACATCCACTTTTCTATTTTTGGTATAAAGCTTTTGATATAATGTCCTTTTTGCTCGCCGAGGTTTTCCATATTTATACTCTCTCCCATCTCTCACATATTCATTCACCCATCACTCCTTTAAAATTAATAATCTTTTAGAGAAAAGTTATGATTAAGAACAGTGTTTTCTTATGATATCTACTCTGTGAAATGTCATATTAGTTGGTCTTTTATTGTTGCAAATAAGTAATTGGTGTTACAAAAATTTGATTGATATGCGATATTAAAAACCGATAACTTGATGTATTGGCCATTACAGAATTAATGTAAACTTATAATGTTTGGTTTGAATTACATAATTACAGTTTTTTCGAATTTTTATTTTTAGTGTTTCGTAAAGTTAAATCATATACTCATTTCTACTTCTTTTTTCCCCATCCCCTTATATTATTTCATGTTTCCCTTTTTGAAAATCATGTTTGTGTTGAGATTTTTTTTTATAGTGGACTACGTTACGTACCCTTTTTATTTTCATTTGTGATAAAATTGTTTGAGAACTATATAGGGAGTGATCTTTATATATTGATGAGAACTGTAGCCGTTCAAACTCTCTATATTAACTTTATTTTCCCTTTTGCAAATTTGCTATGTTTTAATATTTGCACCCCCCAAAAAAAAAAAATCTCAATTCAATAAAAACTACAATTTCCATAGAAGAAAGTAACTAAATTATATCTTAAGACAAATTGGTACAATATTTGATTTTCACGAAACTTAAAGGTGTAATATATATTATTTAATGAAAGTAACGTCTAATTAAATTAGATAGATGTACTTAATTAACTTGTGTCTTCTCCATAAGTCAAATCATGGAGAAGCTCGTCGCTTAACACATGTTTCCCCACCAACATAAATATGGAGTTTTCTTTTAATTTTCATTTTTATAAAATCTAAGATGGGGGCTTTGATAATGCATCCAAGAATCAGTCTCTTTCACAGTCTTAACACCAAAGAGCCCCAACCCTATCATCACATACACCTCTCTCTCATCTCTATCTCTCTCTCTCATAGATCTTAGATTTTTTTTCCCAGGGGAAAAAAGTGAGTTCATCTTTTCAGATCTTACAAACACTTTGCTTCTACTAAACTGATGTGCCACACAAATCATTACTAGTAGTACTATCTTAATTTTCTTCACAGTTTGTGATCTACTATAGCCAAAAAGAAAGAGCTCAGATATGGAGAGATCAAACAACATAGAGTTGAGGAACAGCTTCTACGGCCGTGCAAGAACTTCACCATGGAGCTATGGTGATTATGATACTTACCAACAAGACCATGAGTATCTTCTAGGGTTTTCATGGCCACCAAGGTCCTACACTTGCAGCTTCTGCAAAAGGGAATTCAGATCGGCTCAAGCACTTGGTGGCCACATGAATGTTCACAGAAGAGACAGAGCCAGACTCAGATTACAACAGTCTTCATCATCATCTTCAACACCTTCTCCTCCTTACCCTAACCCTAATTACTCGTACTCTTCCATGGCAACCTCTCCTCCTCCTCATCATCATTCTCCTCTAACCCTATTTCCAAACCTTTCTCCCCCGTCCTCGCCAGAATATAGGGCAGATGTGGTCCGTTCCTTGAGCCCCAAGTCAGAACATACACCAGAAAACGCTTGTGAGACTGAGAAATCATCTCTTTTATTGGAGGATGTAGAAGCTAAAAGGTTGAGCAATAAAGATGCTTGTAAGTTCTTGAGGAACGATGAAATCATCAGCTTGGAGCTTGAGATTGGTCTGATCAACGAATCAGAGCAAGATCTGGATCTAGAACTCCGTTTGGGTTTCGCTTAGATGGTTTAAGCTGTAGAGCTTTGTCCATAAAGGATTTGAAGTTCTCACTTCTAAAAGATATGCTGCTTCGTTAAGGTTATTTAGTTTCATCTATAAGAATTTCTCTATAAGCTTGCTAATTAGTAGATCATGTCGATGGTTAATTATATGACTATAGTATAAGATGTCTTATAATATGTATGTGCTTACTACCGTTTTACATATGACAATGGATTCAGTTTTGTCTCCTAATTGATATATTATTTCCTCGTATTATAAACTGATGTGTTGTACTTCAATTTTTTTTCTTTTTTGTTGTTGCGAATTTGTGTCTATTTCTTGGTGAAGCCCTATATGACCATAATTGCACAATTTACAATAATGACAATATAATTAGATAAATATATCAGATCTTTTTAATATGTGTGAAAAACTGACCCAAAGCATCAAACTTTATAAATGGAATAACAACTATTAATGTTTAGCCGAAAACATGGTTTGATTTTTTGGATGGGAGTTTGTAATTTTTTTTTTTTTCAAATCTTTAATAGCTAACACGGTAGTGGAACTTGTAGGTCGAATCTAGTTGAAATCACATTAGCTTGGTAATTCATATTAAATTCCTACACATGTGTTTGTACAAGAGCATGCATATATATGAAAAAAGTGAAAACATATCAATGAACTCTACCTTGAACGATACATTATTTACAAAACTTAAAATTCGAACTTCATAGATAGTGCTATATGCTGATCATATCCTCAAAAACATTGGACATCGTCCTAACCTACCTTTTTGGGTAACGATTACCCGAGAGCCTATTACGATTCAAAATATAAATTTCATTTGGTTAGTAGATCTTCGTGTTCTTAGGGTTTCAATCCTTTTTTCTACGTAGACACTATTTTAATATATAATAGTATACTACAATATAATATCAGTTATTAAATGGATTATTAGCTTTTGCAACTATGTATGTATTAGGTTTCGCGTTTACAAGTATATGAATTCTGTTCACATTAAGAAAATTTAGTATTAAGCATTTTCTACTAGAAAAAAAAATGTATATATATATATATATATAAAATCAATTATGCAAGGCTTCTAGTGTTTGTGAACACGAAAGGAGAGCTTATAGTTACTTCAAACGCCGAACGATGATCGATGAGCAAAAGTTTTCTAGACGTTTAGAGCAATTTTGGTTAGTTTTTTTGTATTGACTTTTGTATGGTAATTTATTAATATCTTTCAAATCTGAAATTGGTTTGAATAGAAAACTGCGTTTGCGTGTGATCATGACTAATTTGTACAAAAATATATACTGAGTGAATCATTGCACTGAGGGTAACAAATCATTATTTAAAAACAAGTCCCAAAGCATATTTCAGTTTCATGAGTGCAAAAACTGTAAACATGTCATAATTACTCGATCGCTTATTATTTTCCTTAAAAATCTTTTATTTTTCTTGTGGTTTGAAAAGGTCAACACGTACGGCATACAACTATACAAGTCATACAAAAACTATATAAGCAAAGATCAAAGATATTAAAATCTTTTGAACCCAACACAGATACGCAACACGTACGTACGTACATGTGTGTAGTGTATGTGACCATAGTTGGATTTGGACAAGAGGGTATATATGCTGGAAGTTTGGTATTCCCCAAAACCTGAGGGTTTGCATGTTCCCGACAATGTCTGGGTTTTGAATGGCATGATGAGCTTTCCTTTTATAGTAAGTTATGTTTTCGTCAGTTCTAAGCGTTACACATAACTAAACAGTACTAACTCCTCCACCAAATTTACTTTCCTTGAAAAAGCTTTTAAAGTTTTTTTTTCTTCTCTCAACACCTTTTTCACATACTCAAACATGCATCGCCCACTTCAAATGTCTACGCACCATCGTAATAAAAAAAAATTATAATTAATTGTTACTTTCTTCATATATAATTGGACTCATCTCTTTTTCTTGTAGCTAAGTTGTTCGTACAGTTTTCGAATGAGTTCATTATTAGAAAATATCTTGTAAACAGAAGTATCTAGGCTCAAAACTGAATGCTACATATTGTTGACAAACATTAGAAAAACAGAAGCCAAGTTGAAATTAACTCGAACTTATAAAATAATCAAGTGTTTTGTCTTTACTCTTTACCATTCTTTATTTGTAAATTTTTTTGTATACATATATACTAACTAGAGCTAGGAAACACATCTTCGTACACAAAAATTAAAATAGATTCAATTTTAAGTTTTCTAGCCATTGTGTTAAAGTAGCAAACGATTAGCACGTACAAATTTTCTTAAGTTAATTCTAATCCCTTGCAAAAAAAAAAACAGTTTAGCAATTTCAACAGCTACAAAGTATGACATTCTAACTTCAGTTGTTAAAAATCGTTTCAAAAATCATATTAGAAAGAAATATATTTTGCGAAAAGTATAAAAACAGATAAATGAAATATATATATTTATAAATAATATCTTTGTATTCCTACGGACTGGACTGTTTCTAATACAAAGCTCTATAGTCCGTACATAATGTCAAGTGATGTCAAGATCTATTCACATAATGTATGCATGTGTGCATGTCAGTATTATAGTCATGAATAATGAATAATCAAAAGTTTATACCATAGTGTGACATTGTACACTCAAGTAAATATATAAATGTTCAGAGATGCAAAAGAAGAGAGCCCAAAAGGGGCACTTAGGGTTGCAACGTGAGGCTCAGCCACTGATCAGGCATCACATTGAATGACTTTGATAAATGATGACGTGATAAGAAAATGAAAACACACAGAAAATTGTAAAGACAAATAGGCAAAGGAGAAGCTCATCTTTCTTGTTATTTTTGTGAAAGTGGAGATATAGACATGGGCACATAATGGTAATAATAATAAAAGTGATACTTTCATAGGAAGTATTAAGTAACAAGTTGATATGAACAAATTAAGTAACAAGTTAGGCAAATATCACAGTCTATTTCATCGAGGAAAAATACTTATTCTTAATTTTTTTTAACCAATCATATACATGATATGTTAATTGCTTTCCGGATATTAATTATTTTTAATGTGTATATATATATATATATATATATCAGTGTAAAATACGCTATAGATATCGTATAACATAATTTATATGTCATAAACTACCATCAGAACATTGGAAAAATGAGAAATAAAATTATTTACAAAAACGGTCACACACAATTTGGTGTATCGGATCTTATTTTTAGTCGATGAATGGCAATGCACTAGGGAGTTAGGTCTTCCACTTCCAATCAAAACTTTTTGATATTGACTTTTTTTTATAAAAGTTTATTTTTCTTCCTTTTTCAATTTTTTTTTTCATCCTCATTACCACATTTTTCCCTTATGGCAAATATATATATTTCACCAAAAAACAACTGCCCACTTTGGAAAAATATTCCAATGATGATTTGAGGTTAAAATTTTCACTATGTTAATGATGCTCATTGGTTTAAATTTTTTGAAATCAAATTACGTGGACTAGTGTTTGTATTATGATCGTTTTAGCTAATATATCACCAAATTGTCGTTCAGACTCAACAGGGAAGATGAATGTTATGTACTAATCTGCTAAGATCGGGTGATTAAAGAAAAGTGGAGTTTCACTTTCACATTCTTATGACTGTAGTTTTCTCTGGCCACCACCACTACATTTAGTATGGGCTTTAAACTGAGGCTTCAAAGCCCAGCTATAATATTTTCACATATCCACTTTAGGAACATTTCATTTATTTCATTCTTTGACTTGAGGACACACAATTCTTTAATTTCGAACTTCTACATTCATGTACATAAGAAAGAAGAGAAACCAAAGTTCCATACCCAATTGAATGTGTAAGTGTGAAACTTAACAAAATAGGCAAGTATAGCCAGTGACACTTTTACAGGCATTCATGAGTTTGTTATTTTCTTCTTGTTTTCACTGCATGTGGCTTCTTTAATTTGTAAGAGTATCATAATATCTTTTAATTTTATACACCGTCACATTGACCAAATTGTAAATTTTTTTTTTATATCCATATATACCAAGTTAACATATTCGTGCGGGTGCTTTCTTTAGAGATAGGGTGAGAGAAAGAAAAAAGAAACGTAGCTATAGCTTTACGAGTCTAGAGTCCACGACGATGCATGAGTTCATTGAGCTGTGGTCCAAAAGTGTTGGTTTCGTCTGTTATAAATTCATCAGTAAATATTCCTAAGTCAGTAGGATTCTCCCATGTTCTCGAATTCCTCTAAAAACATTAATGCTCATAAGCTTATAGAATATGAATGATAATTATAAGTTATAACGCTTATTTATCCGATACACAAGTGGACCTGATTATGCTTATTTCGATAATATATTTTGTGTTGTCGTCATTGCCAAACTAATATCACTCCTTCACTATTATTAGCTGCCTGATCTCACCCAAAAATCACTTTTTCAAATGCTATAATCATTAAACAGTATCTTAAATAATTAAGGAGTATGGCAATAGCTAAAACGTAATCTACATGCTAATATGCTATATATGAAACTTGGTCAAAACTTTAACTTATAAAACGTGGTCTCGACGGGTCCATAAAAATTTAAGTGTGGTCAAAGAAATAAATTTTAGTTTTAGCAATCCTAAAGAGTAGCAAGGCCATGCATATATATGCATCGCTCATCTGCATATTTGTTTTTTTCTCTAAGTTTTATTTTGCTTTTGTTAAAGCTTCTTTATTTTCCAAGTATAGAAAGTAGAAACCATCGAAGGGAGAATTCATAATAAATTCTATAAATGCATTTTGATTTATGAGTTATTCCATTTTGATATTCTAATTGCTTGACCTACTTCAAGCCACAACTACAACTCCTTAGTGTGGATGCTCCTTTTAATATATTTTGGTGTTATATTTATAACTAGCTAGTTAGCCTTATTCTAGTCAATGTGTTATTAAAAACATTTTATTCTAGTCAAGGTGTTATTAAAAACATTCTAAGACTTATAAATAACACCTTGAGTAGTTTGTTTTCCAATGAAGCAACTTAATTGTTCCAACGGATTTGATATAATCCTAGCTATGTTAAAAGTACTTTCCCTGATTTTGTTTTTTCTGTAAAATATACAAATATTTAGAATCATCGTAAGCTTTACATGCATGGTGTTTATGTATAGTGATAATAATTAAATCATGTTGCGTCGACCCACAAATTTATAATAAACATTTACTTACATCATTTTTTTGGTGAAACAAGTCTCAAACGATATCTCCTCTATAAACCTTAATGCTAATTAATTTTATATGAAATATATTAACCATTAACAAAATAGCACTAACTATTTATACACAAACTCTTTCCTCGTTTATATATACTCTAGTGTGTGTGGGTTTAAAGGAGCGTCTTTAGACTCATTTCAAAACATTGAATACTTATAGAGAGAGAGACCCCAAGACAGAAGGAGAAGAGAGAGATGAACAACCGGGGAAAACAGATTGATTCCGGCTCTGGCTCTGGCTCCGGCTCTGGAGATAACCGTCGGACTTACGACTGCAACATCTGCAAGAGAGGTTTCACGAACCCTCAAGCCCTTGGTGGTCACAATAACATCCACCGCAGGGAACGCGAAAGATACTTCTCCTCCTCTTCTTCTTCTTCTTCCAACTCATTTCCATTTTCTCTTCCTTTACCGTCTCATCAGTCTCCCTCCATAAACTTCACAAACCCTAATATTAGCAACAACTCGTCTCCTTATTCTCCCACCATTGATGAGTCATACCACCACCTATGGTCTCAGCCACCGTCTAGCCACAACATGACACAATACTTTGGATCATCATCATCATCATCATCATCATCAAGAGGAGGAGGAGGGAGATTTGCTCATCAAGGGGAGTCTCATGGTCTCAGTTTGAGCTTAGGGCTCGGATACATGAATCACAACGATGATGAAACTCACCAAAGCCCACCAGAGACCGGAGGTTCTCAGCCTCAAGATGATGATCTTGATCTTGATCTTGATCTTCGACTCGGCCGTCATCGTCATCACTAAGCTTGCACCGGTTTCACCTCACGTGCAATCCACGTAATTATATACAATACATATAGAAGTTTTTAATCACCGTATAATGCATAATGTTTATATGTTCTGGTGTTTTATATTTTTTCAATATGTAGATTTGTGGATCATCAAAACATCTTTGCGTGGAGTCATGTTTATATTATGTAACGCCTTGTGAGGTTTGCGTTTGTATAACCCAAGACTAAATTATAGATCAAATAGGTTTTGAGTAATGTTCTAATTATTACTATACGTTAATTGTATGAAATTTGGGTTTGTATAATCAAGACTCTATGTCTCTACATTATCATCCTCTTGTGTAATATACTAATATTGTAGATGAAGTTACATTTCGTCTTTTATAAAGTTGAGTTATAAACTTTTATTTTGAATGAATCGAACTGCAATGGGAATAAACATTAGATGCGTTTTAATAATAGGTTGGTGAGGTTAATAAATCACACCATTTCGAAAGCTTTCCAAACTTAGAAACTACATTTTTACAGACCCATGTGAGCTGATATGAATCAAAAGCCTTGATGTTGTAAAACGAATCATGATTATAATAATGTGATTGAATTAGACCCACACACACACCACAGTTGTGTATTATGAAGCAGAGAGACATCAAAGTTAAAGGCCCAATATAATTGGAGGATCGAAAATTTTCAAGAATTAGATTCATTTTTGTTTGCTGAGCTTACAAACCATGGAAATTTGAAAGGGTGTTAAATCATATGATTGGTTTGGTCTACTGGTTTGAAAATATATAAATCAAATTAAAAATTGAATTCCAGCTTGTGGTGACAAAACACTAACCATACATTTCATACATGCTGTTATATTATTAATGTGCAAAAGTAAATTAGTCAATTTGAGTGCTTTTTTTTATTTACAGTAGATATGTATCTTTGGCATTAACCAAAACTAATAATATCAAGCATGCTTGTACAAAAAAGATTATATATCATACAATACTTTATAGAAATATATCAATGTATAGATATGTTTTCTGATATAAAATAAAATTATAGATGAATTACACGTATGTCAGTAAAACTATTGCTCAAAAATCAAAATAGCCCTTTTTATTTATTGTTGTGATTATTATTTGTTAAAAAACAACTCTATTTTTTTTTTATTGATTTTTTTTCTCAAAATAGCGCTTTTTATTAGTGATTTGTTACCAGGAAAGGTTGTCTTCTTTTTTTCAATTTATTAAAATTATTTAATTTTTAAAAATTGTTTGATTTTTTTTTTTGCTTTTTTGTCCCCCTATGTTAACAATTTTAACAGATTACAAATTAATTAATATTAATCTGTTTTTTTTTTGAGTCAACAATAAATATTGAATAATTAAAACAAAATAGTTTCACTTTTTTTTTATTTATATTCATAAGCAAGTAGAAAATGGTGAAGTTTGGGTTTTATACTATTTTTCAGATCACATGCCCTTTAATAAATTTGGAATCACAAGTTGGTGATGTTGAATTGCTCTATATAAAAGAGGAGCAAAAGATTATTGGAATCATCTTCCTTATATGTTGCCTGAGTGTGTAAGTTACACAATCACAATCTCTCTTATTGTTTGTTTTTTTTTTTTGCTTTCTTTCTCTCTCTCTTCTTCTTCTTCTTCTTCTTCTTCCTTTCTCTTCTTCTTCCTTTCTCTTCTTCTGATTTTGGTGCTTATGCATTAATTTCTTAATTTTGGCGTTTGTTTTGCTAAACAAATAGCATGCATGAAAAAAATAATTAAAAAAAATAGCATGCATGTGTACGAGTTAATGCTAGCTGATTTAAACATCTTTGTTTGCATTGTATATTTTTTTCGGTATTTGAACAATATATAATCTGATCTTGTCTTAAGAGTATATACAGTATGTTTAAGATCTTATGTATTGAACGTTAAGAAACTAGAAACATATTTCTAGGCTATTTAATAATTTTTACCTTGGACATATATGTTTTCTGGTTTCTTGTTTCTTTTAAGAAAAAAAAACTTGTTTAGTCTGCTTTTATTTGGGTCACATATTCACAATCTTCTCCTTTGATGTAATAATGAATAATCGTTTGGGCTCAAATTTGGGCCTGTAAACTCTTTTGTTCATTTTATATTAATATTATATATCAGCAAACTACATACAGTACTGTATTTTTCTTTAACCTACAGTACAGTACAGTACAAGACAACTTAAAAAAAAAGGTTCAAAAACAGAGAAAGACAACTTAAAAAAAAGGTCAAAAACAGAGAAAGACGTCGTCGAGTCTCTTTTGCGTTGATTCGTGGATCGGTAGAAACCTTTAAGTTGGTGGGAGGGGATTGTGCTCTGTTTCTGCCATGGAAGACGTCTGCGAAGGAAATGAGTTCTCTTTCCCACGGGAGGAAGAGAAAGTTCTCTCCTTTTGGACTCAAATCGATGCTTTCAAGAATCAGCTCAAACGAACTGAGAATTGCGAAGAGTACGTCTTTTACGACGGTCCTCCTTTCGCGACCGGTCTTCCCCACTACGGTCACATACTCGCCGGTACGATTAAGGACATCGTGACACGGTACCAGTCCATGAATGGTAAACATGTCACGCGACGGTTCGGTTGGGACTGTCATGGTCTCCCTGTAGAGAACGAGATTGATCGTAAGTTGGATATTAAGAGGAGAGACCAAGTGTTTGAGATGGGTATTGACAAGTATAATGAGGAGTGTAGGAGTATTGTGACGCGTTATGTTGATGAGTGGGAGAAGATTATCACCAGGACTGGCCGTTGGATTGATTTCAGTAATGATTACAAGACCATGGACTTGTCGTTTATGGAGAGTGTTTGGTGGGGTTTTGCTCAGCTTTTTGATAAGAATCTTGTCTATAGAGGCTTCAAGGTTAGGCCTTTTCTTTTGGGTCTGAATTGTTCTTAGGTTTGAAATCTTGTTGACTCATTTGACTAAAGTCTGGCTTGTTTGCAGGTTATGCCTTATAGTACTGGTTGTAAGACACCTCTATCTAATTTTGAAGCTGGTCAGAACTATAAGGTATGTATACTGTTGTGCTTGTACTGCTAATGAAGATTGTTACTTTTCGTTGTTGCATATTTGAATTATGTTTTGACAATTGGTACAACAGGATGTGACCGATCCAGAAATCATGGTTACATTCCCAGTTATTGGCGATGAAGATAATGCTGCTTTTGTGGCATGGACTACTACTCCATGGACTCTTCCAAGCAATCTTGCTTTGTGTGTCAATGCAAAGTTTGACTATCTCAAAGTTCGTAACAACAACAGTGGCAAAGTCTATGTGGTTGCTGAATCTCGGTTGTCATCCCTTCCCAGTGATAAGCCTAAGACCAGCTTAACTAATGAAACTGTTGGTGATACCAAGAAAGCAAAAGGTGCTAAGCCTGACAGTGCAGAGGATTCTTATCAAGTTTTGGAAAAAATTGATGGAGCTTCCCTGGTTGGGAAGAAATATGAACCTCTCTTTGATTACTTTAACGACTTCTCAAGTGTGGCCTTTCGAGTAGTAGCAGATGATTATGTAACTAATGACAGTGGTACTGGTATTGTCCATTGTGCTCCTGCCTTTGGTGAAGATGACTACCGTGTTTGTCTTGAGAACAAGATAATTAAGAAGGTTAGATTTGACTACATATTCCTTATCAACCCCTTAACATCAGAAGACATTAGGGGTTTATGGATTTCGTAGGGGGTTTAAGGGATTAGGCTGTATGATTTATTGTTTAGAACGAGAATCGATATGCTCGCTTTATCTCATTATGTTGAATGTTCTATATGCTTTTATCCTCCCTTGCAGGGGGAGAATCTAGTTGTGGCTGTTGATGATGATGGGTTGTTTACTGAGAGAATTACACACTTCAGTGGCCGTTATGTCAAAGATGCAGACAAAGATATAATTAAAGCCGTGAAGGTGATTACTGATGCCTATTGTTTGTAAATAAACTACATGAGTCAGTTAAGATCTTAATGATCTGTCATGTCTCTTAGGAGGGTCTTTGTGCAATTTTGGACTATCAAAGTGTTTTATAGTAAGTAGTCCTTTTTTTTCAGGCCAAAGGCAGGCTCGTTAAATCGGGGAGCTTTACCCACTCATATCCTTTTTGCTGGCGATCAGACACACCTCTCATATATAGAGCAGTTCCGAGTTGGTATGCTTTCATAAGGATTCTAGCTAAGGTCTTAGTTATTATACATTTTGTGATATTTCTAGTGAGGCACACTCTCTCTGTCTCTCTGGTTCTTATGAGTATGGCTTAATAAATGTAGGCTTTGGTCTTGTTTCAGCCCTGTTAGCGTAAATGATGATCATATAATTTTTCATGTCATTTTATATGGCAGCATATTTCCGGAGTTCTATATGGCATCTTTATTTTGGCCTCTGTTCACCAAATTGCTTAGGATATTTTGATTTCCATGTTTTGACTTTATCTATTTTATATTATGTAATTATATGTAGTGAATACTGACCTAAATGGCTCGTAAAAGTTAGCAAAAGATGATATGAAGCTTATTCTTTCATTTTCATGAGTTGTTAGGACTTTGAAGTTTGTAAGTGTTTGACTTGTTAGGTTTGTGCGCGTGGAGCAGCTGAAAGAAAAATTGTTAGAAAACAATGAGGAGACAGTATGGGTACCTCAGTATGTGAAGGTCAGTGGAAGAAAGGATCAATGCTCTTGAGTATATTACAGGTTTACTTGTTCAAATGAGTTACTGATATGATTGAAATTTCTTGGTTAACCTCTGCAATTCAGGTTAAACGTTTTCAAAATTGGCTTGAAAATGCAAGGGACTGGGCAGTCAGCCGAAGTAGGTTTTGGGGAACTCCTCTTCCGATATGGATCAGCGATGATGGGGAGGAAGTTGTGGTTATGGATTCTTGAGAAGCTTGAAAAGCTCTCTGGTGTCAAGGTATCTGATTGATTGTTTCTAAAGTCTTCTTAGTATGTTCAGTTCAAGTTTAGGACATCCTACGAGGGTTTTGTTT